CAGGAGCCCGGCTGCCTGGTCTGCACTGGGCTATCCTCTAGACCCATGTGGGAGGAGGTGGGGGCTCTTCTGTAGAGTGCACGAGTCCTGGCCCCCGTGTTCCGGGCACTGTGCTAAGTACAGTGGCGACTAAGCGACAGTCCTGCCCTCGGAGTGCCCACTGCCCAGAGACCCAGATAGGCTGCAGGGGGTGGTGGCCCCAGCCAGGGCCTGCTGTGGGTGGGCTCTGGTCCTCCGCATGGTGGGTCTGGAATGTCCATGCTGGCAGGGCACCCTCAGATACATGTGGTCAAGGGACAGTCACTAACCAAACTCACAAGAAATCAACAGATACACCCAAAGTGTGTCCTTTACTCCAGGGAATGTTCCTTTGCAGTGACCTCAATAGTTATCACCCTTGGAGCCAGTAGGTGGTGTGGTGGTTAAGGTGCTGGACTCCCACATGGCTGACCACAGTTCAAGTCTCAGACCTGGTGGCTTGAGAGTCATGCTGGCCATGTGTGCATGTCGAAATCTCGAGAAGAGAATGGAGGAGAAGGGAACGTGGAGTGGCCATCTCTCCGATGGTTGCTTTCTCACGTTCCCTCTCTCTGTGTCTCTGTCTCTGTGAGTTTACCTGCCCTATAGCAAAACTTAAAAAAAAAAAAAAAACAGGGAGGATGGGCACCCCCTTAAAGTTTGTGATTAACATGGGGTCCAGGCACTGGCAGCCTTGGCAGCTATGAAGTAACTCAGCCGACTGCAGGCCTTCTTCTGCACGCGCACCCGCTGACGCCAGCCTCCTGCTTCCGAAAGGTGTCACATGATTGATCCTGGGCTCCCTTCCTGTGGGCCTTCTCTCTCCTCACTCTTAACAGCCTCCAGGAGTCCAAGGACTGACTTGTATTGTGGCCGTAACGCAAATCACACGGGGGCCACGATGGAGTGCAAAACCCTATAGTGGCCCTACCAAAAAGTAATGAGACAGGTAAATTTAATTTTGAAAACCGCGGTCAAATATATGTGACATGGAATTTGACTCTGGAGTCAGAGCGCATGGCAGTGGCATTAAGCACATTCACATTGTCTAGACCTCACCACGGTCCATCCCCAGAACTTTCTCATCATCCCAGACTGAAATTCTGCCCCTAAACACACAATTCCCCACCACCCCCTTTCCTAACCCCTCGGCAAGCACTGTTAACTGTCTGTCTTCAGGAATGCGACTACTCCAGCTGCTTCAGGTACCACTAGCAGGCGGCACGGTGGTTAAGGCGCCGGACTCTTAGGTGCTCAACCACGATTCGAGTGCCAGACCCGACGGCTCGAAACTCACGCTGGGTCCATGTGCACGCGTGCCCAAGGTCCTGAGAAGAGAATGGAGGAGAAGGGATTGCAGCTTGGCCACCACCCCGGAGGGCGGGGTTTATTTTCTGTCTCTTTCTCTGTCTCTCCAGAGAGTACACAAACCTTTATAGCAAAAATCTCTCTCTCAAAAAAAAAAAAAAAAATCAAGCAGTGTGTGTGCTTTCGTGAATCGGCTCTTTTATGCCATGTAACGTCCTCAGAGTTTATCCATACTGTAGCATGCATCAAAATATCCTTCCTTTTGGAGCCAGCAGTTAGCGTAATGGCTATGTCCCTGGACTCCCATGTAGTCGACCACGGTTCACGTCCCGGACCCGGTGGCTTAAAACTCACTCTGGGCGTGTGTGCGTGCGTGCCCAAAATCCCGAGAGGAGAATGGAGGAGAAGGGATTGCGGCATGACCATCCCCCTGGGGGGTGATTTCTCGCTTTCTGTCTCTATGTCTCTCTGTCTGTCTGGCGAATGCACATGCCCTATAGCAAAAACCTCTCAAAAAAAAAAAAAAAATCCTTCCTTTTAAGACTGGTCCATTGAATGTAGATATGACACACCATACATCCAGTCACCTATTAGAGGACCCGGAGGCTGCTTCCACACCGGCTACTGTGAATAATGCTATGGACATGGGTGGGCAATTATCTGTGGAACAGGTGAAATTAACTTTTTAAAAGAATTATTTATTTAATTTTATTTATTATTATGATAATTAATTTGCTATAGGGTACATGTACTCACCAGTGAGAGATGGTGGGCGAGGGTAAGAAAGCAAGCCACCAGGTCTGGGATTTGAACTACAATCAGTCATGTGGGAGTCTAGCGCCTTAACCACCTTGCCACCTGCCATCCCCTAGGTGAAAATAATTTACGAAATATATTTAATATATCCAAAATGTTAACATTTCTATTGTAATCACCTAAAAGTCACTGCGTAAATCCTAAAAATTTACACCCTTCTTTGGTTTTAAGTGTTCGAAGTTGGTGTGTATTTAACACGTACACACATCTCAGTCTGAGGGCAGGTGCTCAGTGACCACATGTGTCCAGTGGCTTCTGTCTTAGACAGCCCTGGCTATGTTCCAGCCTAGCCCTCCTGAGAGCACACCCAGTATGCACATCCTTTCTGCAGTGAACAAGTGTGTCTGCCCGTTAGTATGGAGGGGCAGTCCTGTAGCTCAGCATTTAAGCACTGTGCACTGGAAGCTGGATTCTCCATGGCCAACTATGGTTGGAATCCCAGCTCCAGCAGCCTTAAAAACATCAGTGTGTGGGACCAGCAGATGGCATAATGGTTACGTCACTGGATTCCCATGTAGTTGACATGGTTCAAGTCCCAGACCCGGAGGCTTGAAACACACCAGGTACATGTGCATGCATGCCCAAAATCCTGAGAGGAGAATGGAGGAGAAGGGATTATGGCATGGCTTTCGCCCCTAGGGGACGATTTCTTGCTTTCTGTCTTTCTGTTTCTCTCTCTCTCTGAGGAGCACATGCACCCTACAGCAAAAAAAATCTCTCTATAAAAAAAAGATCAAATAAATACATAAAATAAAAACACACCAGTGTGTGTACATGTGTGTCCCAAATCCTGAGAGGATAGACAAATGGAGGAGAAGGGATTGTGGCACAACCATGCCCCACTGAGAGTCCTTTTTCCCTTCCCCTCTCTGTCTCTCTGTCTCTGGCAAGTGCATGCACCCTCTGGGGGTAAAAAAACAAAAAAGCATTCTGGGCACACATGTATCCATGTGTTCCCAAAATCCTAATGGGGAGGAGAAATGGAGAAAAAGGATTGTGATGTGGCCATACCTCGTGTGTGTGTGGGGGGGGAGGGGGGTTCTTTTCTCTCTCTGGCTGACATACACACTCTCTGGCAATAAAAAAATTATTGTGGGGGCCAATAGGTGGCGTGGTGGTTAAGGCACTAGACTCCCATATGGCCAACCACAGTTGGAGTCCCAGACCTGGTGGCTTGCTTTCTTACTTTTCCTTCCCCCCTCTCTGGTGAGTACACGTGCCCTCTAGCAAATTAAGAAATAATAAAAATAATGACAGATAAAATTAAATAAATAATTCTTTTTTTTTTTTAAAAAAAAAGAGGTTTTCACCTTAGGGCATGTGCACTTGCTGGGAAGAGACAGAGATAGTGAGAGGAAAAGTGAGAAATCACTCCCCAGGGGGATGGCCACATCACAATCCCTTCTCCTCTGTTCTCCCAGGATCTTGGGACTCACACACAAGCCACCCAGTCTGGGACTTGAACCATGGTTGGCCATGTGGGAGTCCAGTGATGTAACTGCTGGCCCAATAAATAATTATTTTTGGGACAAGTAGTTGGCGTAATGGCTATGTCGCTGGACTCCCACATAGTCAACCATGGTTCAAGTCCTGGACCTGGTGGCTTAAACTCATGTTGGGTGCATGTGCGTACGTGCCCAAGATCCCGAGAGGAGAATGGAGGAGAAGGGATTGCGGTGTGGCCATCCCCCCTGAGGGGTGATTTCTCACTTCCTATCTCTCCATCTCTCTTTGTCTTTCTGGTGAGCACACGTGCTCTATAGCAAAAATTAAAAAAATAAAATAAAAACAACTCTCTAAATAAACATTTTAAAAAATATTTTAAAAAATTGCTACGAAGAATTTCAAGCATATTAAAAGGTGGACAGGAGGGGCCGGTAGGTGGCATGGTGGTTAAGGCAGTGGACCTCCACATAGCTGACCATGATTTGAGTCCTGGACCTGGTGACTTGCTTTCTCACTTTCCCTCTCTCTCTGTCTCTGGTGAGCACATGCACCCCATAGCAAACTTAAAAAGCAACAATGATAAATAAATGAATAATGTTTAAAAATTTAAAAAGGGGGTCAGGATAAAATAATGAACCTCCACCATCCCTCTATCTATGCCACCAAACACTGCCATCCCGAGCTTCATGATAACAGCATTTTTAAATCAAATTTAATTTTTTTTCTGAGAGGTTTTTGCAATAGGGCACATGTGCTTGCCAGAAAGAGACATAGAGACAGAAAGCGAGAAATCACCCCCCAGGGGGATGGCCACGCCACAATCCCTTCCCCTCCATTCTCCTCTCAGGATCTTGGGCATGCACGCACATGTGCCCAGTGTGAGTTTAAGCCACCGGGTCTAGCACTCGAACCATGGTCGACTACATGGAAGTCCAGCGACATAGCATTACACCAACTGCTGGTCCCAGTAACAGCTTTTCAGGCATTGCCCTCACTTCTCACCACCACCTTGCATGACTGAGATATAATGAATTACCCGAGTCCACCCACGATGAAACTGGAACACAAACCGGTTAAGTTCCCATAGCGTCCAAATTAGGTGCACGGGTCCCTGTGACTCCACGAGGGCCATCGAGGGACAATCTTGGAGCCCTCCAGCTGCCCTTGTGCCCCGGGACCTGAATGCCAGCTACTTCCCTTACTAGCTTGTAACCTTTCGTGTGACCCTCAAACCCCAGAGCCCCCGTTTCCTTGTCTGTGATGGAGTCATGAGAGAGCCCACCTGGAGCTGCCAGGGTTAAATCAGTGCCTGCATGTAAGGCCCTGGGACGGGTGCCCGTGCCAGCCAGGCTCGGTGCTAGTTCACTCCCTTCGAGGAGTCGTGGGCTGTCCTACAGAAGGCGTGGACACTGCTGACTCTGCAGGGTGGTGCTGGGGAGGCCATGGACTGTGGGGTGGGAGGTGGTCCTGGGGTGACCTCTGACTGCGGGGTGGGGGGTGGTCCTGGGGTGACCTCCGACTGCTGCGGGGTGGGAGGTGGTGCTGGGGTGACCTCCGACTGCGGGGTGGGG